AGGGGTGGCATGGATTAAGCCTTTCCAGGAGACAGAAGAAATAGTACCATTAGCAATCGTAACTCTATCCTGACCAGAGGCTAGTGTTTAGTCTAAGAAGAGATCAGAAGACCCAGACATATGATCTGAGACACCAGAATCAATAATCCATGGCAAGCCCTTATAGGATGAAAAGGCACTAGAAGATGAAGCTAAGTTACTTGAACGGGCAAACGAAGAAGAAGCAGAAGATGCACTAGAGGAACAGGAGACCGGTGATCAAGCAGATTGCGTAGAGCATCTTCAAACTCCGAAGATGACATACCAGAGACCAAATCAGAAGTCTGCACAACTGGAGCTGAATCATGTCTCTACAGCACTAGACTGATGAGCACGAGAGTGAGACCCAATCCTCTCAATTGACTAGAATGCCCGCCTTTACGACCAGAGCGATCTCCTCGACCCCCTAATGGAGTACCATGATGCTTCCAACAAGTCTCACGGGTATGCCTTGGCTAGCAACAGTAATCAGAGAACAAATTATCTTTCCCGGAAGGATGAGAAGAAGGAAGTGACAAACCAGCCTCATCTCGAGAAGGTGCAAAAAGTAATGTCGAACGGTCTGTAGAAGTTAGTGGTAACATAGCAGAACAACGACTCTCTTCATTCTGGACATAAGCAAAAGCCTCCAGAAGAGATGGAAGAACATCCATACCAAGGACACGACTCTAGACCAAGTCAAACTCCACGTTGAGGCCTTCTAGGAACTTGAAGACTCTCCTGAGCAAAAAACTTCTGGTAACCAACTGAGTCAACTGTGCAGATGGGCTTGTAATCCAGGAGATGATCTAGGCATTTCCAACCATTAGTCAGAAAGGTGTACTATTGAAAAACTTTCTGCTCACCCTGTACTAAGCGCTCAATAGACCGACACAACTCAAATGATTGAGAAAAATTCTCCTTCTGGGAATATATAGCAGCTACTACCTCCCAAACATCCTAGGTAGTCTCCATGGATAAATAACCTTCGCTAATCTCATGGACCATGGAATGAATAAGCCACCCCATGATCAAAGAATTGGCAATCTCCCATTGATCACAGCCAAGATCAGTGATATCTGGTGCTTGAATTCACCCATCAACATATCCCATCTTCCTCTTACTCTTCAGAAAAAGTGTCAAGACACTGAGACCATGCAAGGTAATTCTGACCATTAAACAGAGAGGAGAGGTCGTGATTTTGAGGCTAGGGTTCAGGTTCTTAGAAGTGGTAGTTATAACTAGAATAGGACTCTCCCCTTTAAATGGGTGAGAAGTAGTGGATTCACTAGATGGGTCAGCCATGTTTATGCTACTATCTTAACCAAAAACACAGCACTAATCACAATAATGGGAAGAGGGAATGGAATGGGCAAGCAATCTCAAACACAAACCACTATGGGAGCATAACACTTAGATTAATGGGGCCATTTACCACCCCAAAGAATAAATAAAATGGTAAAAAAAAAGGTAAAACTTCAATCAAAATAGCAATCTTGGGCTCAACCACAATGAAAAATAACACAGTAGTAATAAAGAGGATGAACCAATGAGTGTTATCAGGACATATGACATGGAGAAACACTTAGACGTTATCATAGAGAGTTCGAAACATATAGGAGAAGACCAAAGGGAAGTCCAAAGCAGCTACCAGACCATGGAAGAAGCCTGAAGATACCCAGAAGGCTGTCGGTCTGAGCTGAAAAAACCCTAGGATGGGTGTCGGCTGGTCTAAAACCACCCAGAGAAATGTTGGAAGAGCTCAATAGGTCTGGAACAGCAGGTGGAGGCCTTCTGCTGGAGCCGATAGGGTCTGGAACAGGTTAAGTATTGACGGGTGATGGTCGGGTGGTGTGGTGATGGGTGAAGGTGGAGAATGAGATGGTAACCCTAAAGCTCCGATACAATGTTTGTTTGAGAGAAAAAAAAAACTTAGGGAATAATTAGACAATTATTCCCTTTTATATTGATAATTGGTAGCTTACAATGGAAGCCTTGGAGACACAAATAAGAAAATAATTGAATAAGGAAATAACAGCTAATAGAATAAGAAAGTCCTAAGGCACTAATTAAGGAATCAAAATAAAATCTAAATAAGGAAACAAATATTAGAATGATCCTAGCATGTATTCTAACAACCAATGGCCGAAAAAATTTCAATGAGGATTCTAGAGAGGAATGCCTAGAACAAGGAGTTATTGATTGGCACTATTTAAGGGGTTAAGCATATATATGTATATGTATATTTTTTGAGTGTTGTGTTGCATTTACAACTAATCAGAGAAGAAAAAACACTATAGCACCTCAACCCTAAAGCAACTTACATGCTTGCTCAAGGCCCCGTGCAGAAAAAGAGTCGTATTTTTCTAAATACATTTTATACAGTGTACACATCAAAACAAAATCAGCAGTTGAAATAAAATTGATAAACTCAAAACTAATCAAATTGGAGTAGTTTTCGCAATTGCAAATATACGGATTTTTTTGGTTTTCTATACAACTTCAAAGAGTAAATCACTAAATGATGATAATTTGAAAAAATATTGTCTTAACCTCGAATGTCATCCTGAACATTACTCTTTCTGATAGAGTAATGTGGTGACCACATTAATGATCACATATAGTAATGTTATAGTAATGACACCTCACACATTAACTATATCATGTGATGAACTCTACAAAATATTAGTAATGGTGCTTTCTAAATGAAAGGTGGGACCCATCAGATGTTTAATTAGTGTCATGTGAGGTGTCACAATAGATGGTACTCTGCGAGGTGTCACAATAGATGGTACCCAAATGTGGTTACTCTAGCACTATTCTTTCTAATATTGATGTTTCACATTTATTTTAAAAATTAAAGGTTTTAAAATAAGTTTTGCAAATCGAAGAATATACCTTTAATTGATGTAATGAATCATATAAAAAGTTTAAATCATTTCCTAAATGCAGGCATTAGTAACATAATATTATTGACAATTATAACATTCACTTTTAAAACAAAAGTTTCTTAAAATTAAAACTGTAAAATTAGACCAAAAAATCATTGCTAAAATCATCGCTAAAAATAATTTTTTGTGACGATTTTTTGCACATGACACTAAAAATTGACAATTAGTGATTTTTTTGTCACGATTTTATAAATTGTCACTAAAACTTACAATTCGTGATGCTCTTCTGTAACGAATTTTTCAAACTGTCACTGAAAGTTGAAAATTTAGTAACTAATGAATTTACAAGATATGCATTAAACAATAACAAAACAAGACTCATACTATAGTTTCAAATATATATCTATGTACACATACATATAGATTTAGGAATTCAAACAAATAGATGAAACAAAGCTTTTCTGAGTTTGTGATGGATGGTTTTGGAAGATAAATTGAGTGAGACATTCAAGGCATATTTTGTCTTCTCAAATTTATTAAATTTGACGATAAAAATGAATTTTATATAACATTATGACTACTAGCAAAATAGTGTTAAAAAAAATGCTTTCCGTTAAGACAACAGTGTCATAAGTCATTTCAAAAATCACAAAAGCCGATTTGAAAGTGTCAGAAACCTAAAGGGAGGTTAGTGTATGTGAAATTTACTCAAATAAAAATAAGAATAATTTGATGCTTGTGGAGCTGAAAAAGGCTGCTACCCTTGGGATTTAATGATGAGGAATTAGGCTTAGACACTTGCCTTGTATGAGGAAACAAACATCAAAGATCAAGCTCCTGCAGTTGCAGGTACTTCACAAATTCCTTGATTTCACAAGGAATCCTTCCCAATCCAAGATGATAGAGCCTTTAAAACTCCATCAAGCATTTGAATAATCTCCATAATCAGCACGCGGGTCCTTTATCAAAGTCCCTGCACCATTATCATAATGAGGGTGCAAATTAAAACTAGATCGATGAGTCCAAACCTGATCCTTAAGGGCCCGTTTGCTTTATCATTGTAGAGCATGCTGATACTCTACTTGATCAAGTCAATTACCAGTACATGACCTTCAATTTGAGCAAAAACATGAATGAACTTTTGATAGTCATCACAATCAACACAAGAATATATAATGTGCTAATAAATACCCATAGAATAATATAAAAATAATATCGTATTTGAAATAGCTTAGAAGAAAAGGAACAGTTGTCAATTCAACAAGAATTTTCTGTTGCCATTGAATTATGTCAGCATTGAGGTATGTGAGTGAGTGGGGTTGCTTAGAGCGGCAGCAGCGATATGAACCTTCAAAAGAGGGGAATCAAAAATTTTGACAAGGTGAAAGAATTATGAGTCATTATGCACAAGATACATAAACAGAAATTATAAATCAACAATAGGCATTCGAACAAGGCAAGAATTGTCTCACCCACTACTGGGAAAAGTATCAACTTCTGAATGGTTCATTCATTGATCTTTTTATTTTTATTTTTTTTTCTTCCATTTAACAATGACAATCTTATCTATGATGTAAAACCTCTCAAGCTTTGTATAAATCTCATAGAGCACAAAGACCAACCATTATTGTAATTTGTAACTAATTTAGCATACTACAACAGTGATGCCTCTTCCAACACCACATTCAGAGACATTTAATCATCTACACTATAAATACCATAAATTCTCCTTCAAAGAACTAGTTGATGACCACATACCTAAGAAAGAAATCTCCAAAATTACCACCGGCTGTCATTTGTCCTAAATCCCTCAGAAATGACCACTTGTACATAATTTAGGGGACTGAAAAAGAATCTACTTGAATTTGTAAAATGTGAATTAAAATACTGCAGAGAGAGAGAGGTAACAAATAGTCTACAAGAATCTACAACATATGAAAATAATGTTGCAAGGTAATGTAGCAACAAGTCCAAAATAGTTGATGGAGAAGTATAAGCCCATGTCAATATATAAATAAATAAATAAAAAAGGGCTTCACCTAATAATATATGTTATAATATGTGTAGCTTTACCTTCACAGCTTAAGCAATTTACTCAATCTCTTGCATTCCATGACTATCTTTGGGCATATACTTCTTTATCACTTCTTGGAGAGCAGGATCTTGTCCTTTAGTTGAGAGTATATCTATGACTAAGGAAGAATTGGATGCATTTGCTGAAAAACCCCTTTGAACCATTTCCTCAACCAGTATTAATGCCTCATAGCACTTATGTTGTCCAATAAATCCTCGGATAATAGTGTTGTAAGTGACATCATTTGGCAAACAACCATTATGTTCCATTTTAACAAACAACTCTTTAGCGTCATGCAGTAGGCCTTCTTCACAAAAACCTTGTATCATCGTAGTGTATGTCTTAACATCAGGTTGTAAACCCTTGGAAGAAAGGTTACTGAAAAGGGCCCTTGCAGTATCAAGCTATTTATCCTTGCATAATGCATCAATAAGAATATTGTACTTAACAATATCAAGATGTAAACTATTGCTTTCCATCACGTGGAATAATGACAATGCTTCAGAAATGTGCCCATTTTTGCACAACCCATCCAATAAGATACCATAAGTTTGAGAATCTGAAATTATGCCTGCAGCTTGCATATCATTAAAAAGTTTTTAAGCAACTCCACATCTACCTATTTGAAACAAACCCCGTAACATAGCACTAAAAGTTGCATTGTCGGGTTTCAAACCCCTTTGAGGCAATTCTCGAAAGAGATGCTTGGCCTCATCTATTTTCATTTTCTTGCAATATCCATTGATTAGAATGTTATAGCTAAAAACATTGGGGTGAAGGCCCCTATCCACCATGGTATTGAACACTCTAATTGCTTCATCCATTTGGCCTTGCAAACAATATCCATCCATTAGAGTATTGTATGTGACTACATCAGGATCCACACCTCTTTGTATCATGGCTTCAATTACCCCCTCTGCCTCTTTCATCTTCCCTTCCTTGGTACATGCATCCAGCAACACATTATACGTATGAACATTTGGAGCAATACCACTATCCAACATTTCTCTGAACATTCCAGTAGCCTCCTTCCACCGGCCAAAATTACATAGGCCATGAATCAAAGAAGTATAAGTGACAACACTTGGGAAAATACCCTTTTCATCCTTTGTAGAAAAGAGTTTGAGAGCATCATCCACCATTCTATCCTTGCAAAGACTGTCAATGATCGTGGTGTACACTACGGTGTTAGGTTTACAACTTCCCTCTTCCATTATCCTCAGCAAACTAACACCCCTGATAGTGTTGCCCATTCTGCAGAGCCCATTGACAATGGCTCCATACATAACCACGTTGGGTTCAATTTCTCTAGTTCTCATTAATTTCTTAAATAACTCCACAGCTTGAGGAGTTTTATCTTGCAAAATAAGTCCATTAATCAGAGCGTTGATGGTAGTTACATCAGGTGTATAACCGCGTTTGAAGAGGGTGCCCAAAAGAGACAACCCAAAATCGACTCGATTAAGGTGGCAGTAACAGTTAATAGCAATGTTGAAGGTGTAGAAATTGACCTGAATGCCTTGGTGCTGTTGCAACTTGTTATGAATCAGAGAAAGAGCAGTGGCGTAATGACCCATTTTCAAAATAGAGCCTAAAGCTTTGTTGAATTGAGAAATTGGGGGCAAAGGTCGCATCCGGAGCATTCGATTGAAGGAAATTAAAGCAGAATGAAGATGATTGGGACCCAAATTGCATGGTTGTTTGGGTAAGGCTTCATGTTTAGGTTCGCCTACTTGAGGAGGAGAAGTAGGGTTTTTGGTGGTGTTAGAGAAAGAACGAAACAGAACAAATAAGAAACAAGAGGGTTGATTAACTTTAACAAGTGGAGATTTCGATTTCGATTTTGAAGTACGTTTTAATAGCCAATGATTGTAGTAAGCTATTCTTGGTCCAATAATGGAAGAAATAGAAATTGTTCTTCTTCTTCTTGACATCTTCTTCAAGCTCAGCTCGGTGCATGTGCGAGGAGAGAGGGAGGGTTTTTAATGAGAAGATTTGTAGGAGTTAGGGTGTTTATGGGTCGGTTCAGCTCGGGTTTGTCCTTGACCCAGTAGCCGAACCAATACCTTCGGGTTAGAGAATCAGTCACCCATCATCGACCAAGCTAGGGTTTGAAATCAACCAAACCAAACAAATCGGTTTGGCAATCGGTTCGGTCGATTTCGTAGATCCGAAAGGAGTAGAAAAAATATTATGAAAAATGGAATTAAAATTTGAAAATAGCAAACTTAAACACACATATACATTTATTATGAAACAAAAAACACTTATATAAACATATACATATATTTCTTACAATTAGAATGAGACTTGAGGAGAGAAAATAAAGAAAAAACGAGAGAGGGATCGCCATTGTTGATCATTGTCCCCACCATTGCTCATCGCAGCCGCAACCACCACCACGACCATCGCTCATCATCGCCACCAACGTTAATTTTGCGCTCATCCACCACCACCGCCACATCATCAATAGAAAGGGTAAGGAGAAAAGAGAAATAAAGATGAGGGAGAGTAAGATGGATAAATCTGTTTCTGAAAAAAATAAAATCGCAATGAGGGATGAGGGAGTGTAAGAAACGGATGGATTTGTAGAGATAGATAGAGAGAGAGAGAGAGAGAGAGAGAGAGAGAGGGATAAGGAAGATGAGAAAGGAAAAGAGATGGTGGTTTTTCACACAGAGAAAGAAAGAGAGAGGGTGGAAAAGACGGCATCAGAATTGAGGAGAGAGAAAGAGAGGTGATGAGATGCGACGTTTGTGGGTCAGAGAGAGGCGTCAAATTTGTGATAAAGAGAGACAGTAGGTATATAAAAATCTTGAAAAAATAAGTTTGATTGGGAAGAGATAAGTGTGCAGTTTGTAAAAGAACTTGGAAAGATATATAAAGATGTTGGATAAATAAAAGTGTACTATTTGTATAATTTTCAAGACAAAAGACAGACAGTAGGTGTCTGCTTTTGGTTAAACTCCCTAGACAAAGCTAACGTAATAATAATAAAATATATATATCTAATTCGGTCGGATCGGTTTAAGCGGATTTAATTATATTATACCCGGCTTCCGACCGAAATTCACAGAAAATTTGGATTTTACATCCATAGCCGACCGAGTTATTGGTCGAAACCGCCCGTATCGCATCCGGGTCGGACGGGCATGGTCGGTTTCATGGATTGTTCGGTTATTTGAACACCCCTAGTAGGAGTTTCAAAGTTCTATCATAAAATTGTTGATTTTTCAATTTACTAAATAGGTAGGAAAAAAAAGAAAAAGAAAATCTATTAGCCAATCTATTTAATTAATCTATATCTATATCTGTATATTATTATAATCCCAGAACGTTGTTATCTTACTAAAGTTGAAAGTTACAATTATTTTTTCTCATTTTTTCTCATTTTTTTTTAATATGTGCCACAATATGATTGGTTTCTAAATTAATTTTATATTTTTAATAAAATTTTAAATTTAGATTCTGTCTTAAATTTTGCTATCATAATTGGAATAAGATCAATATTCATAATATGTTATTAAATACACGTGTTCAAATTATTAATCACTATAAAAAGTTATATTTTTATTTTTTGTCATTTTTGGTTTTAAATTTTATAAATTTTTGTGGACTTGAAAAATAATTTTTTTAAATTAATATTTTCTTTAACAAACAATAAAAATATTAAAAAATGAATAATTTTTTTTAATAATTTCCAAACATGGTGGATTCTGTATTTTTTCTTTTAATTTAACAAATTATTATTATTATTATTATTATTATTATTATTATTATTATTATTATTATTTTGCTTAAATAGTTAATAAGTGACTTTTGCTAAAATCAAATAGAAATAAACATTATTTTTCTATTAAAAGTGATGGTTGGTGAAACTTATGGGAGTTACATGTAATAATTTATTATTCCAGCAATGTTACAAACTCACACTTTCCCCCATAATGATGTGACAAGGGAGTTGAGTCCCATGTCATTGAGTGTATAGTAAATCCAAAGTTGATACATATAATACCACATTATTGTGGATACAATTATGGGTATTTTTTGTGAATCTCAAATATTTACCTTATTGTTTATCTAGATTTTTTTAGCACTTACGAAACATGGTGAATCTTGTTTGTTTTTTTGCTTTGTTTTGTTTTTTTTTTTTTAATTTTAATCTCAATTTTCAATTAAACAAACTAAAATAAAAAATGAATTTTTTTTGCTCAAATTGTTAAAAAGTAACTTTTGCTAAAACAAATATAAATAAATGTTATTTTTCTATTAAAAGTGATGGTTCATGAAATATCTTTTTTTATTAAAAAAAATGAGGGTTATAGGTGATAATTTATTGGTTATCTAGAATTATTTTCAGATCAAATGAGAATACCATTCTAAATTTTCTTCTTATCTTTTTGTTTAGGATTAATTACCTAAAAGTCCTATCTACATATTTGGTAGTAGCTTAGGTCCTGTCAAAAAGTTTTTGAACCAATAAATCCCATTTGTAGGTAAAAAGACGTCTTTGGCCTTTAACCCAAACAAGTGTATATATAATAGCATTGACGTTATTTACTAGAAAGAAAAAAACATATCAGTTAACAAATCAGTTATGGAAGTAGATGAAGATACGAATCGCGAAGGATCTTGAAGGATTTCTCAGTTTGGTTCACTATTATACATACTGATTTCTCAGTTTTGACAGATTCGTATTTGAGGCTTTTTGAGTTGAAATCTGTTGGAGTTTGTTATGTGTGATTTCGAATTATAAATTGAAGAATTGATTTGCTGGATATTTGATTTTCGATCTGGTTTATAGGTATGTATTGTTTCGATTTTGTATATTATGTGTTTTTAGAATTTTCTTTAGTTTTGATTGAATTTATTTATGAGAATATGTTGAATAATTTCGATTTTATGAATTAAAGATGTGATTTACTGGATGATTTCTCGGTTTGGTTCGGTATTTTATGAATTGAAAACGTGATTTGTGAAAACTAAGAAAGTTATTAGTATTGTCATGAAGTATTTGTTCTGGTTTTGTAGTTTCAATAAACTGAGAATTGTTCTAGTTTTTATTGATGCAATCTTTTTTCTTTTTTTTTTTGTTTAGGCTGAAAGATAAGTGAAGATTTTATAAGTGTCTCAATTTTTTTGTTGTTCAAGTATAATGGTTGTACATTTGCAATTAAGATTGATCGGAATGTTACATATGATTAGTTGGTTGATAAGTTATGTTAGAAATGGGATAGTTTGCAATCTGATAACATTTGCCTATCTTACTCATTGCCTGGACATCCTAGTTGTACGTTGGACAACAATAAGGAGCTAGAATTGTTGTTGGCATTAGTTGTGCATTTTGATTCAAAGTGTATTGATGTTGTTGTAAGAGTAAAACACTCAACCATTGACTGTGGTTATCTCAACAAAAGATTGGATTATGGAGAAAGAGAGTCAATGTTGGATCTTGAAGTTTGTGATATTGCACTGTCTCATGGCAACAATAAGTTTGTGAACTTGTCAAATAAAGCATCTACATCCTTCAAAAGGAATTCGAGGTTGGAGGTTGAAGAAGAGGTTGATATGTGATCATCATTTTGTCAACACAAGGAAAAAGTACTATTGTCTGCTAGTTGGGCAGTTAGTATTACACATGTAGGACATAAATTTGAAGGTGGAATTGTTGAATTTCGTAATGCATTATCGAAGTTTTTCTATTGAGTGTGGATTTAAGTTCATATTTGTTAAGAATTATATAGTTCGTGTTACCGCACAATGTTTGTTTAGAGAGACAAAAGGTTGAATGTGGAATGTTCATGGTAGAGTGGAGAATGTTAATGGATTCTTTTATATAAGGAAGCTGACTGGAAGTATGAAGTGTTTTGATTTGAGCTTGAGTCTCATTTGTTTGTTGAGATTGGAAGAATGTGAATATGATTTATATATAATTCACTGTTGTAGGTTTGGCCAGGTTCTGAGCCATATTGATAATAATGGAAAGTTAAACGTGTCATAGACATTAGTGTCATGAGACTGTATAATGATGTAATTGATTATCTTGGTTAACCATTTATTGAATGCTATTGCTTTATTCAATGCTTATATTTGGTTTAGTATATTTCTACTGGGCTGTGGCTCACCCTATATGGGAACATCATTTTCAGGTTCAGGTGATAAGCTACCTCCAAGGACTTAGCTTGGAAGGACTTGGATTTTGAAGACTATCTTTAGTTGTTTGTTTTTATTTGATAAATAATCAAGCCTAGGGCTTTATTTGTATTTGAGTTAGAACTCATATTTTGTGTCCAAGTGTTGGCTTGGAAAGATGTAAGCCCATAGGGCATTTAATTTGATGTTACATGTAATGTTTTTATTTAGTAATACTCTGATGAATGAATAAATAAATTGTTTTCTTTAAATAATGCATGTTGATGATATACGTATAATGGGTTTATTTTGAGGGCGTTACATTACTCATTGCCTGGACATCCTAGTTGTACGTTGGACAACAATAAGGAGCTAGAATTATTGTTGGCATTAGTTGTGCATTTTGATTCAAAGTGTATTGATGTTGTTGTGAGAGGAAAAAACTCAACTATTGACTGTGGTAATCTTAACAAAAGATTGGATTATGGAGAAGAGAGTCAATGTTGGAGCTTGAAGTTTGTGATATTGTGTTGGAAATGGTAGAAAAATTCTGGGTAAAACCAGAATTTTTTCTCAAGTTTGGTCTATTTTTTAGGTGGGCCCCGAGCATCGATTTACTCGGGTCAAAGTGGTAACGCGTTCTATGCCACGTTGTGATTCACGTGGTATATTTGGTTGCTCAAAACCATTACCGAGTGAATGGGAAATTGAAGCCAAAGTGTGCTCCATGGAAATGGAGTTTTGGTGGAAATTCCTTAAGGTTGTAAATTGGCTTGTCCCACATTAATTTGGTGGGAAGTTT